CTCCGTTGTTGGATCAGACCCTAAAAATTGCCTTCGATGAAACCATGACCTAACTTTGACCTGCCATAGGTCAGCGGCCTTACATGGTGCATTTAAATGTTTGATGCCAGACGATTTTCTATTTAGTTGTGCACAGCTATGCATAATTTGGTGCAGCCACGCCGTACCATTCCGACACCATTCCAGAAAAATGTTCGAGGGCGGGGTCAATTTGGCCCCCATCCGAGCTCGTGTCAAGTCTAAACCTTGTGAGAAAAAAAAACAGAGAAATGATATCGGCGATGTCGGGGAGTCCTTGCGCCTTCTTGGTTTGAGATGTAATGAACATCTGCGAGATACCAATATAAAAACAGATAATACCATTTTCGGCGATCATTTTTGGACAGAGCACACTCGGCTGAAATCCAGGGGGATACGGACCCTTCACGCCTTTTAGAGCTCAGGCCCCTGGAGTAAGTGGAAAGAACCTGATACTAACATGATGAGCCCCTGAGCAACTGAGCGTACCCTGGCGTATGAGGCCCCGAAACAGCGTACAGAGCCTTTCGGGAAAACAGGAGAAATCCGTGGAGGACAACCTGATCGATCAAGAGCGCTCAGGCATAGAAGCAGATAGCGTCACAACAGCGGCATTGGGCCCCACGAGAAAGTGCAAAGATACCAAGAGCAACGTAGAAAGCTCCCTAGCGATCAGAATGGCCCGGCAAATGGACATATAGGGTCCAGGCAACAGCGCTATGTCTCTGAACAGCGTAATGAACCCAAAAACTTCCCCCAAGCAACGCCTTCTCAATCAGCAAAGAATTAGCTTTATCTGCTCATGAAGTCTTTAGTTTGCCAGTAACCGTTCTTGGTTGTCTGTGGGCCCAAAGACGGCCAATCGAGTTGCATGTAACGTTTTGTCAAAAAACTGCGTCCGGTCGACCAGTTTTGAGCCCCTTGTGAGCCTATAGGTCCCTCGGCATGGTTCATGGGGGGGGCATGATCCCGTACTTTCCCCTCCCCATCTGTATCCACCACCGGCTCCAGCAGCTGAAGAGGGAAAAGCATCAGGCCCGTCAAGAACATAGGACCATCCTTTCAACTAAGAAGTAACCAAAACACAGCATGGAGAGCCTCAGAACGATCCAGTGTGCTCGAGCAGGTAACAGATGGGGTGCTCCCGACAGGAGCGCGGGGCCAGTTCCCGAGCAGGTTATTAAATCGGGCTCCCGTCAAGAGCTCAGGGACCTCCATTCAAATAGAAAGTCCTCAAGATCCAATGAAAAGAGCCCCCGAAAGATAAAGTGTGTTCGAGCGTCTTAACAGATAGGGCTTCTAACAAAAGCGTAGGGCCCTCCATTCAAATAGGAAGCACTCAAGACCCAATGCAGATGGCCCCCGAACGATGAAATGCACCCCAGCAGCTTATCAGAAGACGCCCGACAAGAGCGTAAGGCGCTCCATTCAAATAAAAAGTATCCAAACCCTGTGTAGAGGGCCGCCGAAGTATGGAGCGTACCCGAGCAGATTACCAGGCGGCCCCCGACAGGAGTGCAGTGCCCTAAATTCAAAGGAGGTGAACAGATGGGGCCGCTGACAAGAGCGTAGGGCCATCCATTCAAATGTGAAATACCCACGGCACGATGTAGAGGGCTCCCGAACGACCGAGGGTGCCGAGAATGTTAACAGATAGGGTCCCGTGAAAAGCGCACGGCCCTCCATTGAAAAAGCAGGTACCCAAGGCCCGACGTAGAGGTCACCCAACAATCGGATGCGCCAGAGCGGCTTATTAGAACGGGCCACGACAAGAACGTAGTGGCCTAAATTTAAATACTTAGTGCCGAAAGCCCAGTGCAAAGGGCCCCCGAAAGATGGAGTGTCTCGAGCAGATTATCTGATGGAACCCGATAAGAGCGCACGGCCCTAAATTCAAACAGCGAAACCCAATGTGCAGGGTCCCCGACCATTCCAGTGTGGCGGAAAACAGTGGGGCGAACAGAGGGGCCCCCGACAAGTGCGTAGGTCCCCTGTTCAAAAAATGAAGACCCGGTGTGGAGTGCCCCCCCCCCCCGAACGATCGAATGTGCCTGCGCAGGTTATCAGATGGGCCCCACACTGGAGCCTAGGGCCCTCATCCAAATAAAACGTACCCAAGACCTAGTGTGGAGGGCCCCCAAAAAGAGAAGCTGACAGAAGTTCCTAAAGGTTGACTGGCACCTGAGATGCATTTTCTTTCAATTCAAATCAAACAAACATTGTTAACGATCATGAGTAACTATCACACTACGGCAATATAGTCTGCAGTGGACAGAGGATGGTGAGGAAATCTGGAATCGGACAATACTCGTACTTGATCAGAATAGAAATTGAGGACGGACATTGGGAACTGAAAGACAGGAAGGAACAGAGAACAATTGGTAAGCAGTAAAATGTTGCATGTTGCCACCCATTTTTGAGGCGTTAAACATGTCGGCGACGGTGTAGTTTCTCCACCTTCTTGTAAATAGTGACATCACCCCTTTACCCAAGTGGAAAACAATGTCAGGACACTGGATCGAAGACAGTCCAGCCATCATGGAGATGTCGGGGTTCGGTTCAAATCCGCCTCACCTCTCCGCTGAAGCCGACCCTGCCATATCGCTGAAGGCGGCCACGTGACCTGGCCTGACCTCGTCCGACATCGGACCGGCCCGCATCGCCCGCGGCGGTGAGGTTTGACTCATGTGCCATGTGTTCGTTAGCGCACCCGTGTCGCCGAGCGTTCGTCGCACCCAGGTCCCGCCTGTTGACTTGTCCACGAAGTTCATGTAGCCGTTTCAGGCGTTTATTGTTCCGACCAACACCGAAAAAAGCACAAGGTTTGCTGCCAACTTTCCAAGAGTACATGTGACTTCCCAAGAGGACATGTGACTCACATGTTCTGGGCACTTGCGATCTCTTCGCGCCGCACGCGCCCCACAGCTCGGGCCGGCACTCGGCTTCCGCCGCCGGACGTGTGCTGCCGTCCTCGGTACAGGGTAGGAGAGCGGAGCTGATGAGATGAGTGGTCGCCGTCCCGGGCAGGGCGTTAAGTGGAGAGAGGCAAGTTATGGTAGAGAACACTGTGCAGCAGGGCGCCGTGGAGACGCGCCACTGTTGTCGCTGTCAAGCTCATGGAATTTTGGTTTTCTTTTCTATATTGCCTGCTGCAGCATTGTTGCTAACTCGCCTTTTATACCATTACACCCTCGAAAAAGCCTTTCCATCGAGGTTTAGCTATGTGGGGGCTGAAGCGGATTTAAGCACGCGGGAAGCACGCACGATTTAAGCAGGCATTATTATCTGCAGCATTGTTGCCAACTCGCCTTTTTATACCATGGCAACACTCAGAAAAAGCTTTTTCATCGGCGTTAAGCTATGTGGGAGCTGAAGTGGATTTAAGCACACACAGAGCGCACCTTCGCAAATGTATCGGACTGTTCCTTCCGTAACATTCCGAACACGTGATCGGAACTGCTCATTTATTACCAGTTTGAAACAACTGGACCTCTGCTTGCCTGCCTGGACAGCTGGACCTCTGCCTGAGGATATTTGCTCACTAAATTAGAACTATGGAGCAGTTGGGCGCGGGATAACTCACGCAAATCTCATCTCATTTGCAGCCCTTTCGCGAGTCAAACTTAGCCTGCTATTGAACACATCTGCCATAGCAGCAGCGCTGCAGTCAACTGCTCGCACTGAGGACCATGCGGTGGAGATGATTCACCTTCTCACAGCGCGGCCCACCGTCACAACCATCCAGACCGCAGAGCACACGCAAACTGTGACGCTGTAGTTCTTTATTGACCTCTGCATACTACACCGCAGCAGATATTATCCCGTGACCACACTGACACGATTACGACTCGACTCCACGACGGGGGATGAACTGTCCGTCCAGCCAACGCTGATGATAGAGTTGCACGCGCCACGCCACTCTGAACTAGCCAGGTCTAAATAGGAGCAGACTGGGGACGCACGCTAAACACGCTGGCGAACAGTCAATCAAACAAAACATGAGTGAGAACACAGCAAGAGGGCTGAAAGCTGGTCTGGTGTCGAGCATGGGGACGGCGCGAACCACTCAAAAATGTCCTTTGAACTATATTGGGAGGTAGTGCCGCATCGTACCGCCATACTTTCGCCACCAGGCAGCCCGCTGCCCACACCAAATAATAACTGCGCGCACGCAGACGCCACTAGACGCTATATTCCATTCAAGAGTATGGCTCCACTGATCTACAACTAATATACTAATGTGCTGTATCCGTGCCATGCAAACGTAAGACCACCTTCGTTAGACGCGTCGAAGCGGGAGCACAGTGCGTGTGTGACTCTCAAACACGGATGGTGACAATACCACGAATACACATGCCGCAGAATAAAGTCGCAAGCAATGAACTGCCCTACCAGAGCTCAGCTCCATACAATGAAAACCTAACCACACCGACTTTTGCGAGCCGAGCCGGAAACAGAAGACGGAAAAAGACAATTTTACCCCGCTTTCCATCCACAAGACATTTCCTAAAGGTATAGATCTTACATCGTTATCTACGTTTACGTCCATACGGAGAGGTTCAAAAATATGCAAGTTTGTAGCTTCATCCCATGGGACTAAACCCTGAGGCGACCAGTATGCACTACCGGCTAAACAAAGCTGGGGAAACCCTGTCAATACACGACACGCACGGCACACAACGAGAGAACATCCGCGCAATAAAAGCGCTAGCAAAGACCGGAAACAGAGCACGATGGCACGGGACCGTGGGAACCACGACTCTGTGGTCCAGCGGACCGTCGCCTGCGAGCTCATCCCCGACACACACACACACGGGAGCGAGGCAAACCGAGGTGTTAGGTCCAGTCGCGGCGCTCGCAGTGAGGTGGTGGACGGTGGCCAGACGAGGAGAGCACCGGCGACGGCCGACTGTCGAAAACTTACGCAGCATAACTTGCCGAAGATGGACAAAGCATACCCAGACATGATTACAGAATGGCACCGTCGGAGGAGCTCCAAGTTACAAAATAAACAATGTAGGAGGGGCGCTAGATTCTGAACTCGTCATATTGTCCGAAATATAGCACGCATGGTAATCTATTGTTCAGTTCTGCTGCATATAAAAGAATCAAAACCTGATCCTGTTCCATTCTACCTCTACAATTAGTCCCGAACGCGACGTCGCATCTCTCAACACTACCTGACAAAGACGAGTTGGACGATGCTACGTTACCAAGGCAGCAAGGCAGCGATGGCCGACCATTGGCCATAAAATATATATATACCCCCGAGATTTTTCCCAAGCAACTGACCATTTACGCGCAATCAGCTCCTGATCGACGCCGAGACATGAAGCATGGTCCAGCGATCCGAGATTGACCATCCTGACGGCATAAAAGCGGTGCAAGGTCCAGCGTCTGGTCTGACCGCTTCGAGCGGCCGCAGCAGCGCATCAGGCAGTGTCTGCCATCTCCGCGAGGAGCGGACCCCGACTGGGTGTCACGCCGGCGGCAGAGCCTAGGCGTGGGCGCCCTTCCGGATGTCGACGCCGGTCATGTTGCTGACCATAGTGGGCACCTCGCCCACCACGGACAGCACCTCGCGCGTCAGCTTGGCCACGCCCACCTCCCCGCTGCCACCAGCCACCATCGTGATCTTCTTGGTCTGGGTGAGCGGCGCCGCCACCTCGGCCGCAATCTTCGGCAGTGCCTCCAGCATCATGTCCACCACGGCCGCCTCCTTGTACTCGCGCCAGGCGTCTGCCTTCTTGGCCATCTGCTCAGCCTCGGCCTTGGCACGCGCCTCGATCGCGAACGCTTCGGCCTGACCCTTCAGCGTGATGGCCTCGGCCTTAGCCTGTGCCTCCATCACCATGCGGTTGCGGTTGGCCTCGGCCAGACGCTCCATCTTGTATTTTTCAGCGGCGGCCGGCTGGCGCACCTTGGCATCCAGCTCCTTCTCGCGGCGCTGGATCTCCTGGTCCATCACCTGGATCTGTTGCGAGCGCTCCACCACCTGCACCTGGATAGACTCCTCCTTGATGCGCTGGCGCGACTTGGCCGCCTGCAGCTGGTACGCCATCTCGGCCTCGGCGCGCTTCGTCTCCACCTCCATATCGTACGCGGCCTTCTTCAGCTGGAAGTCGCGCTGCGCCTTGGCAATCTCCACGTCGTTGAGCAGGCGCGACGCCATGCGCTCCTCCTCAGCTATGGCCTCGTTGATGGCAGCGTCGCGTTTGGCCTCCGCCTCGCCGATCGCGGCGTCACGCTTGACCTCGGCCGTGCGTGCCATGCCCAGCGCCTTCAGATAGCCCTCCTCGTCGCGCACGTCCTTCAGCGTGTACGACACGACCGTGATGCCCATGTTGATAAGGTCGGAGGAGGCCACGTGGAATACCTGCTCGCTGAACTTCTTGCGGTCCTTGTAGATCTCCTCGACGGTCATGCCGCCCATGATGGCGCGCTGGTGGCCCTCGAGCGTCTCCAGCGCCACCTGGCGCACCTCGTCCTCGGTCTTGCCCAGGAACTGCTCGCAGGCGGCCAGCAGCATCTCCTCGTTCTGGCCCTGCACCTTGACCTGGGCGATGCCGGTGACTGAGATAGGCACTCCCTGGCTGGTGTAAACACGCTGCGACTCCACCTGCAGCGTCATGGTGTTGAGCGAGATCTTCTGGCACTGCTGCAGGAAGCCCCAAACGAACGTGCGCCCGCCGGGCACCAGCAGCGGCTTGGAGTAGCAGCAGCCCGAGATGACGAGCGCCTCGTTGGGGCCGCACGTCACGAACCCGAACGTCATGCTGAGTCTGCGCTGGGGACCGGTCAATCTGTCGAGACAGCACAGGCAGCCATGTCATGATGGGCAGGTCAGCACCCTGCCGCTAGCTGACGCCGCCAGGACGCGCTCTTGGGCTTCATGTGAAAGTTCATCACATATTTGGGAGGCATTTGACAGAGAACGAAAATTGCAGAAATAGATACCACAGTTTTTAGTCACACATCATGGAACATAACATGCAGTTAGCCACAAATCATTGATGTCAAGATTGGAGCTTTGCTTAGGTTTGCAGAGAACACAAAAAATCCAAACATATGCTGCCTGTACTTGAATTTGGAGTGCATATGTTCTGACTTAAGCAAAGGCCTGTCCTGTTAAGTTGCTGCCCAGCACACCACAGCCAAGGGTTCTGCAACTTAAATGGCATGTGAGACTGAAGTTTTTTTAAAGATTTATCTGATTTGCAGACCCCCTCACAGCAGCACAGGGGCATATAGTACTCCCAAAACATATCCTACTTTTCTTCAGCTTTAAAACAAAACTGGAACTGCCACCAAGGTAATGATCACATACAAAACATACCAATCAGTCACTATCACTGAACTATGGAGGTACAGCCAGGTGGTTTTGTGATTTTGGGCAGCATGTTGGCATCACCAAATGGTAACTATAACCTAAATGTTGATAACTATAGACAATGAAATCGAATTTAAAACATGTTTTACTTAGGCATAAACCAGTGAGCATACAAATGATACAGCATGTCATTTAAGTCACATAAAAGCAGCAGTTTCAAAAACTGTCAGCATTTACAAGGCAAGGAGGGATGCTGTTTTGGGATGTCAAAAATCCAGCAATAGTATTTCACTGCGACTTGTATTACTTCAACAATGATAAGATCAAACAGACAATGGTCAAAAACTGTTCAATGCATGAGTCCAGAAGTGCTGAGCTGGACATCAATGATGTTTTGAGATTATATCACTGGAATTACTTCCTGGCTTGGCAGTCAGATCCTCAGTGGTAACAACTGTTATGGATTTTGAACTCCAAAAATGGAAAGCACCTATGCCACCCCATTCATCAAAATACGGCAGGCATTTGTAGATGCATTCTCAAGTGGATTAACCCTATTTCAAACACATTTCCTTCTTGCAGTTAACTTATAAATGTGAACCTAGTTGGTCCTAGCCTTACACAAAACCTACTTTGCTGTTACATCATTCAAAGCTGGGTCTGCAAAGTCAAGACAATAGAACAAATGTAGAGCTCATAGCACAGGTCCAAAATTTATATAAGGTGCAGGGGAGCACCTGTTTACTGTGTTAAGTCCTGTCACAGGATGGAGCTTCACATTGTGAAATGTAACACCCACCCCAAATTTAATTCCCATCAAAATACTTATTAACTGGCATAGACTGCTCAGGTGGCATTGACTAGCACACTATTCATATAGCAGTGTATCCCTTTACTATGGGAGCTACACCATTTACATAGTTTATGTGCAAATTTTGTGCATACTTTTTCAGGAGCTATCATGTGCATGACCGCCTGACTGACTGTGGGGTTCTGCAATTTGGTTCAAACATTTCCTTTAAACCTGAAAGGTACACCTCATTGTTGCATTACATCATGACCCAATTTGTTCCTGGAGATATAATGGAAACACAACATGTTGGGCTTGCAGACTACCCAAACAAATGGTGGAATACCAAGTATTTCCTTCAGGTGGCCTGCTGTTTCCAGACACTATGAAATAAACCAAACACTTAAATCAAATTCATCCTGTTGGAACTCCTTAAATACACAAGCCTTGAATCTTTTAAGAACCATGTATAATATACCTTGTTATTGATATATTACATCATACTACATTATCATATATGATGTGTCCAGTTATTAATATTGACTCAACTGCATGTCTGAATGATAAAGCTAATGTTTTCTACCTACTTCTTTTATCATTCACTGATACTGACATGATTCTCATAATATTAATACCTATACAACCTTAGCAAGTGGCTGCTAAATACTAGTAAAAATTCCACTATGCAGTGCAATCTAGTGATCTTCAATCAATGTTCACGCCAGCCTAGCCCGACTACAGCACACTAGCAAATAATGTTTGATGCTGCAGGAACTTAGCCAAAGCTTAGGAGTAGAAAATGTGGCTTATTCACATATTCAAATCACTCCCATTCAGGTTTGTTATCCATGGCCATTAAGCAGGAAAAACAGATAGCAGTGCCTAATTCAGACCAGACCAGAAACGGCTGGACCGAGTTCAGCGACGAGCTACCCGGCTTGTCTATGAAGTGAGGTGCCAGTCATACCCCGAGAGGCTCAGACTCCTTCAGCTGTCCTCACTGTACTATCGTCGTTGCAGGGGAGACATGGTAACAGTGTACCAGCTATTCCAGGGAGGCATGGTCGCTATGGGAAGAAGAGTTCCTGACAAGGCACAACTCGGAGGTGATGAGAGGACACCAATGGAAGCTCAGAAAACCTGGAGCTAGGACTCCCGTCCATTGCAACTCATTCAGTAGGTGGGTTGTCAATGACTGGAACGTTGTCAACAACTGGAACGCTCTTCCACACCCCTTTGTGTTGTCGACCTCAATTGAACAGTTCAAGGCTAGGCTTGATACCCACTGGGCTGACATCATATAGGACATCCCACACTGAATCTTCCCATAATTTGAGACTGTTTGGTTACCCGACCGGGAGCCTGACGAGACCAGGACCTATGGGCCTAGTGGCCTTTTACAATTCCCGATCACCATAAGGTAAGGTAAGGTAAGGTAATTCATAAATGTCATGAGAAACAGCAAACATAACAATTGGCCCCTACAGTAACTATTAGAAAAATGCAACCAATGAAACAGATGCCCACCTGTTAATATTTGCTGAGCCTGGTGCAAATGGGCACCAAACTGAGGCCGGGCCAAATTGTGTGAAATTGCCCCAATACTTTCCAATAACATTCCTCTGCTAGTATTTTTGTTTGGAAGCAACTTACAAGCATCATTTTTCCCTGACAGATATGCTTCTTATATACTGAAATTGGTGGCAGCCATGCACTCTCAGGGCACCCAGATTTGCTGTGGGGGTGTGCTGAAATTGCTACCACAATGCACCTGCCATGTAAGAAAAACAACATCCATGTTTGTTATGGATGATCATACATCCATGTTATAAGGAAAATCATCCTGTTTCTTGTGGTTCATAATTTTTTTGTGTAAACATCCTGATTTTGTTCTTATTTGAAAATCAGCCAAACCTTGGTTAACTCAGTAAGCACCCAGTCACAAGATATGGTAGATTTCAACAAGATCTCGCTAAAGCAGGATTGCGACAGTTATTTCATACCAGGGCACGGTTTTGAAAATTTAAAGGCAGGAATTCCTCCATTGGGGTAGCAAGTAGATACAAATTATATTGTGACGAAAATCTTGGAGACCCCGTTCCGCAAATCATTACTTCTGACCCAAGCGGAGAAGTTGGCTGTCCATTGACTTGAGCTCAATGAATCAGATCCATGCCAGCGTTTAAATGAAAAGCAATATGAGCTACTTACGGAAGATTGAAGACCGCTACGCGCGCGCAGTTCGTGGACCTCAACCCCGCTTATACACCACGTCGCCTCACACACACCCTCGCTGCGGAACTTCCCAACGCGTATTTTGTTATCCCAGTCGCTAGAGACTTTTCTTGACGAAATATCTCAAGATAAGCTTTGGAGCTCTCGCTCACTAGGATTCACCAGCAGCGTATATTTGTATATGCGTCGTTAAAGGTTCTGGTAGGTACGGCAGGCAGATAAATATGCGGCAAGCACCCCAGAATGCCAGAATAACGGGCACCAGCTGAAGCCATCACGCTGTGTATAAATACTGTGTCAACGGTGATGATGTCTCGTTGAACCGCTCGCTTGCAAGGTACTCAGTCCTAACGTTACAAAATTAATCCGTCTCTATGTGCAGGATATAAACATAAATTCCCGCTACCAGAATTCCGGCTCCCTGGAGGCCTCCACGCGCACATTTTGTTGGCAGCTTTGTCCTACAATCCCAAACCGTATCATTGGACCTGCCCAGCCCATTTGCCTGCCCCGAGCCGGCTGCATGCTGGGTACACCGCCGGCCGCCTCAATGCTCATTAGCCAATCTTGCACGAGGGGCGGAGGAACAGGCAGAAACGGCCGATCAGAGAGTGGGAAAGCATGCAAAACATCGACACAACTTCACGTTTAAAATATCGGCATCACACCCCTGACTTCAACTGGCAAAATTTTGCCAGACTGCCCCTTCTAAATCTGGCCGTGGTGCGCCATGAGGCTGGATGGTGTTGTCACTACTCCCGCCGTCGTGTCATCTCTTAACACACGCCCGGGTGGCCCGCTAGATAGCCTTCGCTCGGGTGGGGGGGGGGGGGGGTCAGTTTGACCCCCTGAGATCTCGGGAACTAAGAAAGCTAGAGACACCAAATTTACAATGTGCATTGAACTGTACGTGAACTCACTTAGGTCAAAGTTTCAGGTTCCTAGGTCATGACCTTCGGGAAAAAAGGTTAAACAAGATCAAGTTCCGGGCTGGTCTCCAAGGTGCCCCCAGAACCTAGATAACCGTTTCTAAGCAAAAGGTCACCTCATTCAAGATCAGTGACCTCGTTTGACCCTTTGAAGGTCAAGGTGACCAAAATCGTACAAGATTGTTTCGAGTTTTGCATTTGACTAAGCGACAAAGATTACGATAGGCAGTATGTTCCTAAAAAAAAATGTTGACCTGAGTCATTTTAGGTCAATGACCTATTCTGACCTCTAAGAAGTCCATAGAAGATGTACCATGCAGTTCCTGCTATCAACAAACTCGAAATGAGCACCAGAAGCTATCCCATACAGCAAGCCCTAGAGTAACAAAACAGGTTGGTTTTGACCTTGGTGTGACCTTCATACCTGACCTCAGGTCAATGTAATTTGCTTATTCAATTATTGCGTTGCCTAAGAAAGCATCTCAGGGATGTATGGCGTCGTCTAACACCCCGTTGTTGGATCAGATTGAATGATTCCCTACAAATTGCCTTCGCTGAAACCATGGCCTGACTTTAACCTGCCATAGGTCAGCGACCTTACAAGGGCAATCTAAATTTTTGATTCTGAACGATCCGCTATTCAATTTTATGCAGCTATGCAAAATTTGGCGCGGCTTTGCCGCGACGTTCGGAAACAATTCTGGAAAAACCTTCGGGGGGTCAATTTGACCCCCCACCCGACCGCGTGTTAATCTTTGGCTATTATAGTACATTTAAACGGATCCAGCTGCCCAGTCGGCCAGAAATTTTGAATGGCATCGACCATGTACGGGCATACACAGCTGAACGATGCTTGCACATCCGCACAACGCCATGCCACCTTGCTGATGACATCACTGAGAACATACGAGTGAAAATGGAACAATGGTGGCTTTCGGTCTGGTCACGTACGACCCTTTGTGCTACCACCAACTCCAGCGCACTTATGTCAGAAAGGTAAATCATCACAGAGCAAAACTGAACTCTGCCATGTTGGCGTGGGATTAAGCTTGAGTTTTGATTCCAAATGCGAGAGGGGCTGACGTCACTTATGGTCAGCAGTCCGGCATCGGCACCAAACAATCCTAAGAATAAAAACCTTTCGTTCTGCCTTAATCGCTCGCTCGCGCTGGGTGTTTGTTCCCCGTACTTCGTCTTTCTCGCCCTTGTCTTGTCTTGTCTTGACGAAGTCTTGTTGTTCTCTCCCACGGCAAGACCGAGACAGCTTAAAAGATCAAGGCCCTCTTCCACCTGCCCGCACCCTGCCCGCTTTCGCCCCACTGCACTCGCCTCTCCTTTTAACAGTCTCACCGGGCTTTCATCGACTTACAGTTTGATGCTTCCATCGCCAGATTATCGTTCCCGATGCTGGAAATGAGCTCGGTGACGGGATCTTCGTGCTGTTTTAGATGTGCAAAAGCTGCAACATGTACTTCAGGTGTATTTCATATTCCTGAACCAGTGGTCCTTTCTGACATTTAATCAGTGTCCACGATGTTACTGACGTAGGAAAAGTGCAATGATCGCAATGTTGCAGACCTTCGGGATTACTTACCTAAGTGTTTTTCTTTTGTGAATCAGTCTGTGGTGCGGGTTTTAGATAAATTGCATGACAAAACTGCGGTCCATTTTCTGTAGTGGTGGCGTTTGCGTCAGTTCCCCCAACTCGAGACTACCGACATTTCATTTGGGTGGAGGATTGGCCGCTTTTAAGTAAGTTGAGCCGTTAACCTTATTATTGTTTGTAGCCAGAAAACAATGGATGGATTTGACCAATCGGAGTCATGAAAAGCTGACTTGTTTGTGATGTTGGCGACCCGATGGCCCTGCAACACCATTTTATATAATTGATACTGGTTAAATGTGTCCGCGCAGGTGTTCAGCACTGACCAACGGGGTGGTTTGCGCCTCTTGCCATGTCGGGAGCGTCCGGCACCGCTCCGAGACAACCAGCAGGGGCAGCCGACCCTGCGGCGCCGGGAGCGTCAGGAATAGCCTCACCGGAGCGCGCGGAGTAGGGGCCAGGGTGCTGCATGCGTGGACGAAGTCTACTGTGCTCATGGGTGCTCGCGCAGTGGCTGATCCGGATAGAGGAAAGACTACATGCGCCTTCATGCGACGCTGGCACAACTCCAGGGCAGTGCCGGTCGGCGTTCTATGCTGCACGGCTGCCTGCAAGCCCGGGGGAGAAACGCCACGCGCGTCGGCGTTCAGCCAACGGCAGCGTTGTACCGCCGCTCTGTTAACCCCCGTGGCCGGACCCGTGTATCAGCTGGTCGCCTGCCAAAATGGCCGTGACTGCGGAGCACGGCTTAAGTGCAGCAGATGGCCAACGGGAGAGTGTGGCACTGAAAATCGTGCAATTGTACGATAGGACGATAGGACAGCGGATAGGATAACCTAGGACAGGATAGATGAGATAGGACGGATTGATAGGACGATGCAGTGACGCAGACACGCAGTGGCCCTTCCCTCAGTGGCGAGCGTTTTCTACGGATTTTTTTGCTGCTGCCGCTTTTGTCATGATCGTTGCAGAATATGGGGAGATGACGTGTCTGTAATGAAACGTAAAGCGCATCATTTCACGCGTTTGGAGATACGCTGGTCTGTAACGAGAAAGGATAATACAGCTGCGCTGCTTTCGTTAGAACAGACTCATACAGGAGCTGATTTAACAACCCCGATGTAAAATGAGGTGTTGCGTCCTCTGCATGAGTTTATGCGTGTATCCCTCGCTCAGCATGTGTGTGTGTACGTGTTTTGCCCCAGCATCATGGAAAACAATACATGTGAGAGGTGCAGCACGGGAAATGCGGGAAGCGGATGACAGTGTAGGGAGGCAGGACATTTTTAGACCGCGATGCGTGATGATGGCGACTATTTCATCGCAGTGCACAAGGTCGAATCTTAAATGATTGTGAGCACGCGCGCACACGGGCAAGACTAGACGAGTCGTTATCGTCTCGTAGCGCCTCCGCAGAACCAAATCGTAATGTTCGAGTATCGAGTTAACGAGGGGTGTGACGTTTTGTTTTCTCCCTTCTCCAGCGCTACATGCTGATCTTCTGTCTCTCGGTTTCTCCAACGCGTTGAAGAGAGAGAGAAAGAGAGAGAGGGAGAGAAAGAGGTGTATATGTGTATATATGTATGTATATGTATGTTCATGTGTATCTATATATATATATATATATATATATATATATATATATATATGTATCCAACGCATTGGATAAGATGGCTACGCATTAGGCGGCTACCCTGTAACACCTTGGAGCGGGGGACAGATCCAGGGGGAGCCACGGGGCCATGTCCCCCTGGGCCCAGAACCATAGGCTCCAGGCGGCCCCATAGATGGCAGAGCAGACGCAGCTTTTTAACAAAACGCAACAAAATTGGATGTTTTTGAGCTTCTAGTCAGTCAAAAACAGTCGCAAGCGAAGGTGAGGGACCCACGAATGGACAAAAATAACTATTCACTGATTGAGAGCGTGGTGATTAGATATCTTAAGGCTCACTAAGCTGTCCGGAGGATCTACGCTGTTCCTGGGGGTGCTATATTTCCACTTGCATGGTAAAACGGGTCGCTAAAAGCCTTTCACGTTGCTTGTGACTTTTTTGCATGTGCTCGGAGGCCCCGCGCTGTTGTCGGGGCTTTCTCTGCGGGTATGCCGGGACATCCTTGTCGAGCAGGGGCCTTCCATAGATTCTTCCCATTCGGCTTTATGCGCTATAGCCTGAGCCTCATATGTTAAGCTGCCAGGATATTCTAGGTCGCTCAGGGGCCCTTCACGTTGATTTCGCCTCACCTACCGACACACACGCGATATGCTCGTGGGTCCCCTACATTGGTCTAGGGCCTCTCCAATTCCCTGACACTTGCGGAGGGCTCTACGCTTCTGTCCGATACCCCACCTGTTAACCTGCTTGGGCACATTTGGTCGTTCTGGGCGCTCCGCATTGGGTACTTCTTATTTAAATGGAGGCCCTACGCTCTTGTCGGGAGCCGGGTCTCTGAACGTGCCCGGGCAAACTCGATTGTTCAGGCGTCCTGCACATTGGGTCTTGGGCTCTTTCTATTTGAACGTAGGGTCCTGCC